CACTCCAGCCACATCAGACGTGGAAGAGTTTCCCATGTGTAGTTTCCGACCCGTAGCAGGAGTGTATTCAGAGAACACTTCCTTGTCGGAACACACATGACGAGTGGCACCAGTATCTATGTACCACTCCTTTGGGTTATCCACCAAATTGGCTTCAAACACTACAGCCGACATATCAAAGTCGGTCAATTCACCCAGCACAGGGCCGTGTTCAGCAACAAGGGCACTCGGTTGCCCTTTCTTTTGCCCAACATTTTTGGGCTTTCTACAATCTTTAGCCATATGATTACGCTTTCCACAACTGTAGCACGTGCCAGTAAACTTCCAAGTTTTGGCTGGCTGCTTTCCCTTATTCTGGGTCTTCCTCTTGCTCGAGTTGCCTTGCTCCAGCAAGTTGGCACGAGCTTCCATCATCGGGACTTTTCCTGATGACTTCTGGTTGTCCTCCTCGATACGAAGACGAACCACCAAGTCTTCAAGACTCATCTCCTTTCTTTTGTGTTTGAGATAATTCTTGAAGTCCTTCCAGCCTGGCGGCAGCTTCTCGATCACAGCCGCTACTTGGAATGAGTCGCTCAAGGTCATTCCTTCAGCATGAATATCGTGCAAGATTAGCTGGAACTCTTGCACTTGTGACACAACAGTCTTTGTGTCAACCATCTTGAAATCAAGAAATTTGCCGACGACGAATTTCTTCGCCCCGGCATCCTCAGTCTTGTATTTCTTCTCCAAAGCAGCCCAAAGCTCCTTGGCAGAACCAACGGAGCTGTACACATTGTACAACTCGTTACTAAGTCCATTCAGGACATAATTCCGGCAAAGATAGTCACCTTGCCCCCAAGCATCATACGCAGCGCGTAGTTCAGCATTGGTCTCATTTTCAGCAATGATCGGGGGATTGTCCTTCAGGTATTTCACCAAACCCAAAGTGGTCTGGTAAAAGTGCATCTTTTGTTGCCACCTTTAAAGTCAAGCCCGTTGAATTTTTCGGGCATTTCAGCTGTAGGGACATGAACAGCCGGTACGGGATGATGAACAGTGGTGTTGATCGGCTGCTGAGAGCTTGAACCTGCTCCAGTAGATGCCACCAGTTCAGTAGGTTGACGGATATTCTTCTTGCGATTGTTGGATATTTTGTGTGCAATTACACGGGAATCCTACGAACTGATATGTAATTTTCAGTTCTTACAAATAATCTAAAAATAGAAAATTACAATTGAATTAAAAAATAAAATACAACTGAAAAACGAAAAGATTTTTAGCCGAGGCGAGTAAAACTCTTTCCGCAAGAAGAATATGCCTCGTGTGGCAGCTAACGGTTCAGGCGTAACTTCTCCAAAGATACAACAGCAAACGTCTCTAAATCTGTAGCACACCAGATTTACGAGCTCCGGCGAACAGGAACGGAATCGAGAATTGAGCACTTAGAAATAAAAGAAATATTCTTAAACAAATAAAAATATCACTCGTTCCTTTTCTTTTGATATTTTTATATCCGGTATTTGGACATAAATATTTTTTTTCTTCCTTTTCTTTTTCTTTCTTCTCTCTTTCTTTCTCTTCTTCTTTTCTTTCTTTCTGCCGTGTCTTTCTTTTTGTTTTGTCTCTCTTTTATTTGCAGCAAAAGTGACATATATATAGCAGATGGACATCAATTTGGTTGATGTAAAGTAGATAAAAATTAGTTGGGTTGTTTAACAATTTGGTTGATGTAAAGTAGATAAAAATTAGTTGGGTTGTTTAACAAACTATTGTGGTGGTGGTTGTGAAGTTGTTAATCTACACTCACAGTTTTCTAACACGACCCAATCGAGATATTATAGGGCTTAATATAACGTAACACGAGATATTCAAGCGCGAGAGTATCAATCTTCAACCTGGAAGTGAAACATTGAGAGTGACAATGGAGAACCAACCTCTTCATAATGGGAGAAGATATGCAACAGCATTCCACATTTTCTCTATCATTGAGCAGACAACATTCAAGAGTCAAATCTTCAAGCACGGGACAGCCAGAAATCAGGCTTTCGAGTTAGCAACCAAGCCGAGCGTCTACGCTATGGAGATGGAGCTTCTTAAGGGCTGGCAAGCACACGGCTCCCTTCTTCATCTCATGAATATGCAAATCTTAGGGTCTTAGATGTGAAGATGCAAGGGGACATACCATGGAAGTTATACGGAAAAGTAAGATGGAGAACTTTCACGTTGTGCGCAGAGGCGCTCTCGAGACACGCCTCAACTTCATGCTCGCCGAAGTAATACATATCGAGTTGAAGTGTGTTCACGCTGTGCGATTCACATTGGGACAGAATCTTTGTCAGCCTGCGTAAAAATTCGGCGCATTCAGAAATTGAATACGGGTCGTAACTACTTTGTAGTTCAGTTAGTTTAAATAATTATTTTTTTTTTCGAATTAATACTAATGAGTAATTTAAAAACTCATTTAAAACTACTTTAATACTAATGAGTAATTCAAAAACTCATTTAAAACTACTTTATTCAATACAGAATGATATAAAGAATGATATTAAAGAATGATATAAAATGTATTTTGAATGATATAATATATGGAAAAGTAATACATGTATGAATTAGTTAAAAACTCATTTAAAACAACATAATATCAAATTGACGGAATCTATTACTATATAATTAAGGGCGATATTATGCAGTGTATAATATGCGGTGGTACATAGAGATACAGTGGAGTACAACTTCATTGTAATATCTGGACCGAATGCTAATTAAAATAAACATAAATTCTAAAATTTAAAAGAAAATTTTTTATTTCAAGTTTTAAATAACTTTAAAAATTATACTCCCTCCTATTTTTTTAAATGTCATTCTAGCTTTATCAATTATTGACTAAATAAATGTCATTTTGGATATTTTGTACATATTTTTCCATTATTATCCTCGTTTAACTAATAAATAGATTACGTCTTTTCATATTCGCTCTTCATTTTTTTCTCAAAACAGTCTCTCTATCTTCATTAAATAAGGTTATTATTGACAAAAAAAAATATCTTCACTAATGTGCAACTTCTCAAAACGACATATATTAAAAATAAGAGGTAGTATTATTTTTCATACTGCATAGGGTAAATTGCGATTTTAGTAAGGGAAAATTTTAAGAACAAAAAATTATATAATTTTTTTAATGCATAGGATAAATTGATTTCAGAATAAGATGTAATTTCAAGGTGAATACCATATTCAAGTTATCTCAATTTCATTATCTAACTGTAGACATATTCAAGTTAAAACAAACAATGAATTTCATTATCTAACTATAGAAATATTCAAATTAAAACAAGGTGAATAAATTTTGTCTAATTTGCCATAAAGATATGTGATCGGTTACGGAAAATGATTGAATAATGTTCCATGATATCCGCCCTTAGATAACCAACCCAAATTTAAGATTTTAAGATTCTACATATTTGCAAATAAAATAACACTTTCAGCAATTTTACAAAAATTTATATGTTAGATACATTTTGCAAATAAAAGTAAATAATAAAGTGGACGACTTAATTTTCTCTGATTCATAAAGACCTAAGTCACACTAAGAATGGGCTTGTTCGATGCTACCCATGGGATACCGGCGGGTTTTGGCCACACATTCACACACACAAACCACCCGACCACACATTTCCACACACAAACCGTGGAGTATGTGGCCAAAAACCCCATGGGATATCCCATGGGGTAAAGCTCGTCAAGTTCGTCGACTTTTTTGCAGATCTATATATATATAATTGTTGGCATACAACATTTAATAAAACCTAATTAATAAAACCTTTATTCATTTTTCCGCCTATTTTTTCAATTAATGTAGAACCGTTACATTTTATTTTTCCCCTCATTTTTTCAATTAATGTAGAACCGTTATATTTTACATTAATAAAGTATAATAATAATTTTAAACTAACACTACTGACACTAATTGATTACAACTTTACATTAAATAGTATGTGGAAATTACATACTTATAAAAAATTGTAATGCAATTTTTTTTCTTTAAAATACTTTCTCTAAAATAAAATAGTTTTGTCTTTTTAAGCAGCTTTTATCTAATATTAGTTAATTGACATGAGTGTCATAATTAAACACCTTAAAATCACATAAACAATTGTTATGATAAAAATAATTATTCTATTTTTCTAACTATATAATTGTATGGTCCGTAAATTACTAAATTATTATCCATTAAAATTTATGGCATCAACATAAAGATTCATACGTAAATTAAATAATTTATTTTACATTACACATTTGCATATATTCAAAATTTAAAATGTAATACATCAATTATCTAATATAATTGTATATATTGTATACATACATATAATATATAAATTTTTATTTTTCTTTGTGCATGTGCACAGGATGAATACTAGTATTACTTAAAAACACATTGAATGATCACATATCACGATCAAGATTGGTATTTTGCCCCCCCTGTTCACCATTATTCTGTTGAGTGCTGATGAGTTTCTCGAAAGATGATTCGATTCCCGAGCATGCATGTAACCTTCGGCCAAACGGAATCTAGCTCTGAGATTAGCTGCATTGTTGAGGCAACACGATACCAAAGTAACTGAACAAGAACAAAACCTATCACGCGTGAGTCGAGCTTAATGGCAAAACTATTCTCCACTGCTCTCATGAATATAGAAAGCTACATAAGGTAAATGGACAACGGTTGATAGTTAAAGATAAGCAAACCAAACAAAAACCTCAAAAGTCGAGTTAAACATGAAATACATTCAGGAGATGCTCGTACAAAATTGCCCCAAAAAGGTTAAATAAACGCACAAACTGCTCTCAACCAACGATACATCAAACCACATTAACTACATTAACCGCAACAGAAGATGGAACCATTGCCAATCTAATCAGATAACAACTAGTTACTTACCCATTCTTGCTCAAAAGATAATGCAATTTAAACAATAACCCAGCAAACTTAATTACCTCTCCTAACAATCAAACCGCTAAGAGATGAGTTTGAAAAACGCAACATTTTTTTCCCTTAATGCATATGTTCCACAAAGCCCCTGTGCTTCCTGGGCAAACCGAACCACGTACTTCCTCATGAAATCTTTCTCCGTAAGGGAAAGCACGCTCGTCAAGACCCAATCTTTTTTCACCAATCCCTTGGAAGCTAAGTCACGAACGAGAGTGCACCTGGGGACTATCCTCCTCTCCATACTGTAAAAAATGATGCTCGGGCACCTAGCAACAACCCTCGCCTCCCGACCCAGCTCCCGAACCACAAATTCCAAGACAGCCGTGACCTTCTTCTCCGAACAAAGCATGCAATTTGGATGCTTCATGAATGCAGACAATATGTCATCCCTCGACCAACCCCATTTCTGATAAACTTGATAACATTTGTTCCACAGAGCCAAACAAGCCTTCCCCGAGAGAGCGTGCAGTGCTAGAACAAACATCGATTTCGATGGGTCGAAACCCATTTCCCTCACATTCTGAGCCAGCTTCTTGAATTCATTGGGTTCAAGGGAAAATATCCCAACGCACTGAAATAACGAAAGCTTGAGGAAGGCCGGGGGCACCCCAATCTCCTGCAAGTGGTTCATGTTTGGGATAACCTTGTTCGTGAGGTCGAACCTGAACAGAGCCCGGGATCCCTTCCGGAAGAGGGTTTCGGTCGTTTTGGGCCCGACAAGATTCTTGAGGTAATCGAGGTTGGGCTCGAGCTTGTGCTCCAAGCTTGAGGTCAAAAAGCAAGGGAATCTCGAGACGGTGTCGAGCACGTCCTTCTCAGAAACACCGACCAAAGACTGCCGGAAAAATTGGATCTTTGGCAGAATGAACTTTTCTGCGCTCCACGTGAGTAATTTGGGTTCGGCCCTCACGATACGGGAGATCTGGGGCTCTGTGAAACCTTGTTTTCGGAGAACACCCAGGAAATCGTTGGGCTTGCCCGGCGAGTCGAAATGCACTTTCTTGGAGGCAGCAACGGCGTCCTTCGGCGACAGGCCACACGAGTTGATCAGGAAGGAGACGACGAGGCCTTTCTCCGGCGGATATTTGGTGGGTTCGGCGTTTTGAAGAGTGCTGAAATTTGCGAGGCTCTGATTAGGGCGCGGCCGAGAGAGAACTGAACGGATTAGCGCCTGAAGATTGAGCGGCATGGTTGATTTGACGGCGTGGAGAGAATTTAGTTGCACCGGTGATCAAAGCTTCACTAGGGAAGACGGCGACTGATTTTGAAACCCTAGAATCCGCCGGCGGACGAACACTTGAGCTGGTGGGGGTTAAATGAGCCTTCAGCGAAATTTTCATTTTCTTCACAACTAAAATTGAAATTTCAGTATATAAAATGATTTTTTTTTTTTTTTTTTT